TGTTTAGCTAATACTCCGTAAATAACCTTTTTGAATAAAGTTTCACAAATTGTTAGTTATTTTAAGGGAGTAGCAGTGGCCTCGCCATGCTTCTCTGCTGCCGTTTTACCCTGTCTGTGCTCCCTGCGGGACTCCTCTCCATTCATCAGAGGTGCAGGAGCACCAGGAGTGCAAGTACGGGGAGAACTGCACCTTCGCCTACTGCCAGGAGGAGATCGACGTGTGGACGCAGGAGCGGAAGGGCGCCCTGAGCCGGGAGCTGCTGTTCGACCCGCTGGGCAGCACCGAGAGGCGGGCACTGAGCGTCACGCGGCTGCTGCAGCAGCACATGGGCATGTTTATGTTCCTCTGTGAGGTACAGGCACACTCACGTCTGGGTTTTGCAGTGTGCATGTGGAGAATGTTCTAGAGACTCAAGATATCCCTAGTGGAGGACAAAGGATTTACCTGCTTATTCACCATCTATTACCAGCCCATGGGCGAGATTCAGCCTGCAAAATGGGTTTTATACGGCCTGTGACATATTTTTTTTTTTTAATTCGACCCACAGATCAATCTTTTGTTTTCCACAGAGAATTAAAAAAAAACAACGTAAATGTTATTCTGCTAATCGGTGCTGCCAAGCTCTGAGTTTCACTGCTAGCGAAACTTCGACATCGGTGCATCACTGGAATCAAAATCTTTGTTGCCACATGACCAAGGCCAGTGAAAACTGATGTAGACACAGCCCTGCTACAGCTGGAGACAACGTGACACTAGACAGTTAGCAATGAACACAGACAGGGAATAAATGCAAGATAGAAAATGCACACAGGTCAGTGGGTACCTGTCAAAAGAAAATGTTTGTCTTGCCATAAAGTAAAAGCTACGGCAAAATTAGATGGATCAAATGTACTTTTGTTTTCAAAGTGTCGTGGTGTGATAATTGTAAAAAATCATCAAAGTGAAGGACCCATCTTGACCAAAAGTTCCCACAACCATAAGTGCCGTTTAAGCTGAATGTTTCCCGCTTGCACCCCCTGCAGGAGTGTTTTGACAGTAAGCCCCGGATCATTAGCAAGCGCAGCAAGGAAAACCTGGCTGTCTGCTCCAACCTCACGGCCCGGCATCCCTTTGATGACAACAAGTGAGGCTCCTCCCCTTCAGCCGGCCACGCCCCTCAACAGCCGTCAGTCCGCAAACTCTACGAAAGTAACCCTGTTATTGCAAATAGAGCCATAGTCATTAAAAAAAAAAAAAAAAAAACTGTTGGGACCAGATCATTTACACCAGGTGTCACATAAGAGATGGCAAACTCTCACACATAGTTTTACTCCCCTGGGTGCCCCATATGTCAAAGCTCTTTCTCACTTAAGCACCATTTTTAAGCATTGTTGCTCTTTTAATTCCATTAGACGTATTCCATTAAATGTATCTTCCTGTCAGTGTTTTGGTTTGTAGTAGTTCTAGATTTTACAGCTTGTAAGTAGTCTACGTTTTACCGTCTGTGTCTTTACGTTCTCTGATTATTTGTTTTTCCAGTAATTATATACTACGGTTCGCTTTAGCTGCTTGTCTGGCATGAGAACTCAAACAGTTGTGAATCAGCCTGCCACACTTTCACCTTAATAGTGGTGACATTCTTCATTTAGCTGATGCTATTATGCAGAATAGCCTATGATTTGGTTGCATACCAGGGTTTTGAATGAGATACACGGGATGGCTAGTCTGCATTAGCTTGTCGTTAACCGAGCGGCGCCGTCTGGTCCGTAATGGTGCCCCGTCCCCCGCAGGTGCCTGGTGCACGTGGTACGTTCAGCTCACGTGCGCTACTGCAAGGTGCGGCCGCTGCACCCGCTCTGCCAGTTCGACGTGTGCCGCCACGAGGTGCGCTACGGCTGCCAGCGCGAGGACAGCTGCTCCTTCGCCCACTCCGTCATCGAGCTCAAGTGCTGGGTGCTGCAGCAGGACACTGGTGAGAGCGCGGGGTCACGGGCGTGAGCAGAGGTCACACGCAACGCTGACCTCACTAAATCGCTTCTCCCGCTCCCTTCTAGTTCAGCTACGATGCTGATCTGGCTCATTCATGTTTCCTTCATCTTTTTAATTCACTATTATTTGAGCACTAATCTAGTAGTGATTTATTGCTGTTTCATTGCCTGGATTCCTCAGTTGGATGTAACTATCCTGTCGACCGTATAGGACCCCGTGACGATAAAGTGTATTTTATTAGACTTTTGCATATCGTGCCGTTAGACGGCGATTCTTCTCTGAAGCTACATTGCATGGTGTTTTGAGTAACGTCGTCATGAAGGGTTTTAGAATTTTTCATCACAAATACTTTTGATGAATTGCTTTTAGTATTAAGCTTGAAATATATTTTTTGCGCATTTTTATTTTCATTTTTACTGGGCATCATTACCCATTTTGTTATCAATCTATTTATTTTGTATCTCTCTTGGTGCTATGGTGTGTATCCAATTCTATCTGCTTCCTATCTCTGCATGAGTATTGACAATCTAGTTGTTGTCATGAGAGCGACATAGACGCTGACATGGCATCAAGCCACCTTACCTTAAACTACCCACCTTACTTGAAAGTGATCTCTTTCAGTTTCTGTTATGCTAGTGCACACATTTACGTGCACGTGCACGTATGCAGACTACTGCATCGCTTGACTGTGTTGGCTGTGATAGCAGAGGCTCGCTGTCTCATGCGCGAGGGAGGCCATCGGCCATTGCTGACACGCACCGCCTCCCTGTCTGTGCAGGAATCACCCATGAAGAGATGGTACAGGAGTCCAAGAGGCACTGGCACAGGCTGGAGCGGAACGCACAGCGCCAGAAGGTCAGCGGGGTTGGCCCTCGGCAAAGAGCAAACAGCTTCGTTAGCATCTTGGGTGTGAAGCTGTGAAATGCATGCTTGCACACAACCTGTCTGATAGATAGCAGGCGTAGGGTCTGCTACACTGTCTTTGAAGTGGTGAAATGGCACTAATTTGCCATTTTACTCTGCGCTAGTTCCCCGTTTCGCCCTGTTTTCACTTTAGACGTGAATCTGCTTGGCAGATGTCTGCATGCCGGCCACAGCTGGACGCTGTTCTTAAACCATCTGGTTGAAGTTCAAGAAGTTCTATCGCTTGGATGGCCGGGCAGTTCTTTAACCAAGCTGTGACCTTTTCTGTCTCTGTTGGGATACCAGCCTGTGCACAACCCACACCCCAGCAGCGGAGGAGGTAGAGGCGATGGTATCAGTGGTGGAGGAGGAGGTGGTGGAGGTGGAGTTGGCGGGGGGAAAGGTAGAGGGCTAAATCTGAAGATGAAGTTTGTGTGCGGGCAGTGCTGGAGAGACGGCCAGGTCAACGAACCGGACAAGGCGCTGAAGTACTGTACGGCCAAGGCCCGTCACAGGTGAGGAGAGCGTCCAGGAGGGGGTGCTGTGGTCGGGTCTTGGCGTTCTTTTTCAGACCTCCACTTTCCTCCGTTCCTTATCTTCTTCGTCTGTGCCCAGTTGGACGAAGGAGCGCCGGGTACTGCTGGTCAAGTCATTCGACAAGAAGAAGTGGGTGGTGGTTCGACCGCTGCCGTTTTCACGCACCTACCCTCAGCAGTACGACGTGAGTGTGCCTCGTGTCGTGCAGGGACCCTCATCAGAACATGAGCTTTTTTTTCAGCCCAGGATTCATTGGCGGTTACATTTAGATGCTGGAAGCCGCATGATTTAATGAGATGCTTGTTGAGGTGTGTGTGGTGTGTTTTTTTTTTCCTCCCCCTTCTCCTTATACACTGTGAGGGGAATAGAAAATAATCACTTTACCTCCACGGTTTCTGTTGGGGGTGCAGGAGTAAGACCAAGAAGCCGTAAACCAAATAACAAACTCTAGTAAGGACTTGGTTCTCCCGGAAGCCTCTCTGCTGTGCAACCCGATGTCGCTGCTTCTCGCTCTGTTTCCCAAGGAGCCGCGTCGCCGGATTCGGAGTAATCTGACCTGCCGCGTGTGATGGCCTGCGCCTCGTGCCTCCGCCTCGTGCCTCCGCCGGCTCTCTTGTTAATCCTTTCTCGCCCCGAGCCCCTAGGCTACGGGCGTGACTGCACTGTGACGGCCCGCTGACAAATTAGCCTGTGAGGGAGCAGCTTAGCTGCGACTGCGTGCAGTTGGCTGCCGCGGCGAGTGTAAGTGCGCGTGGGTCATTCTGTCCCCCTCCCCCGTCAGATGTGCGTCCACGTCATGAAGCAGAAGAAGTGCCACTACATCGGGAACTGCTCCTTCGCCCACAGCCTGGAGGAGAGGGACGTCTGGACCTACATGAAGAACAACAGCCGTGAGCTTCACGCCTCCTTACACTCCGTCTGCTTCTCCAGCCTGATTCTTCTGCTTCCATAGTCACTGTCGTCAAGGCCTCCGTGGCACACTGTTGATGGTTACACGTCTCAGCAAGTAGTATTGACACCCCCACCCCTCCACCCCCTGTACAGTGAGGGACATGCAGCAGATGTACGACATGTGGCTGGCGCTGACCAATCAGAACAGACGGCCCGACGGCACTGTGCTGACCCCGCCCCCAGAGGAGAAGCAGATCTCCATGCCGACCGACTACGCTGAGCCAATGGTGAGCGGCTAGGCGAGACCGCCCCGACGCCGATGGCCAGCATCAGGGCCCCTGACAGCAGTGAGTCATTAAGAGGGTGGCTTCGCCGGTGTATGTGACAGCATGTGACAGCATGTGACGGCAGCCACAGTCTTACCCGGGAAACCCAAAGGATTCCTGCAGCTTTTATATGTCCTGAATAGGAAATGGTCTGAAATGCGGCCAATCCCTGCAGCTGCTGAAGGTCACCTGACCCCGAGGATATCCCAGTGAAAGGTCTCTTGTCAGTGCCATTTGCCAGTTTTGCAAGACTCTTTCCTGAGGAACAAGTTCATAACACAGTTGTGAATTGGGAGGACATGCAAGCCTGGTGCTTTGTTAGTGCGGAGTCGCTCGCAGTTATTTTTGCCTCTCGTGTGCAAAATTAATACAGGGGTGTGTATGTCTGTACATACAGTAATACAGTGTCTCTCAAGTCAGTTCTCAGGGACCCCAGACGCTTCACGTTTCTGCTCCCTCCCAGTTCCCTGAGTGTTTGGTGGGAGCCAAAACATGGACCACTGGGGATCTCCAAGGACTGGTTGAGAAACACTGCTGTAATATATTTGTATGGAATATTCTTAACATCAATGCAGGATAGAGCAGTATGTAGTCTTTCTGGTCTGGTCTTTCTGTGTTTACTGAATATTAGTGTCTATTTGTAGCTGTTACACGTGATCTATGTCTCCCCATGGCTGCCTTTTCCATAGTTAATATGGTCCGTATCTGTGTCTGAACGCTACCCTCGTCTGTTCTTTGTGCCTTTTCGCTCCCCAAACGGCACACGAGAGCGCCCGGCTGCGTCAGGGAACACGTGACTGCTGGTCTCTGCGTGCTCCGCAGCGTGTGCTTGCGTGTCGGGGAGCACGTGTGTTTTGCGTGTCACCCAGCGTGTCCCTGTGTGTCCCAGAGCGGCTTCCACTGCCGCCTGTGCGGGAAGCACAGCAACAGCGAGCGTCAGTGGCAGCAGCACATCTCCTCGGAGAAGCACAAGGACCGAGTGTTCAGCTGCGAGGCCGAGGCCGAGGCCGAAGGCGGGGCTGAGGACGAGGACGAGGGCCTGGCCTGGAGTCACCGCTTCCCTGGGCCGCACTTCCTGCTCTGCCCCAGGTACCCGCCCACCCTGCTCTAGCTGTAGACCTTCCCCCAGCCCCCCCTCAGACGCTAAAAACTTGTACGACGGTTCCTCTGGAGAACCCGAAGAAACCCCCCCCCCCCACCCGGCCCCTATGCATGTGGTTCTGTTTGTGAAAATGTTTCATTCTGCTACTTTTTGTTTGCTTTTTATTTATATTTAATTGCATCGTTTGCCATTTGACAAGTAATAAGACATTTGATTTCGGTGTCGGGGTTACAGTAGAGTCATACTTGTCCACCTGAGTTAATACGGAGATGGTGTGTGACAGTCGGAGCATGTGAGCAGAGCAGAGTGGGAGCCAAAAGATTTCGGCCGGAGTGAGAGCGGAGCGGCATGTTTCAAGGAGGGGAAAAAAAAACTCAAACGTCTCCCAGCTTCTCCTGCCCTTGAAATTATTTCTCCTTGATTGTGGATTTGGCTGCTCAGTTAGACAAGCTTAAATTAAATTAGATAAGCTGAAATTAAAATGCAACGCAGATTTTCTCTTTTGGATTTCATTAGAGCGGGGTCGACCTGAAGCGGCTGTGAGCAGGGGAGCGGAGTGGAAATTCCCGTTGTTTCGCTCCGCTCACACGCTCTGGTTGCAGTACTAATGCAGTGAACTGGCTTCTGTAATAGCAGTTTAAGGAAATCCCTTCAGTTCTTTTTTCTACACCAACTTGCTTCCTTTCATCCTGGTTAACAGTCAGAACTGCTGCTGTCATGTGGTTTGAGAACACAAACGCGTTCTTAGTTGAGGTTGCAGCACGGGCCGTGCCGTTTTGGCCTGAATGAGGTCCTGCCGGTATCCGTTACGGCAAATCATCCAGGAGTGTGAATGAGCTACAATCGTCAGTTTTGTTAAGCAGCACATTGATCTTTAGCGGGGAATTATTTTCAGTGATTGTTCAGGGATGGTTTTGTATCAGGGTGACCCCAGACTGACCTCAGGCTCTGTGCAGTGCATCGGGGGGGGGAGGGTTCTCCATGAGAATAACCCGGTCAGTCATGATGCATGCTGTTTGACATTTACCATGTAGGTCTAACCTTTCAGATATCAAAGTACACGCGTCACATCCAAAGAGCAAGCTGCAGCCAGCCTCACTGCATCCCACTGCCGAACACTGCGTTTTTAATTTTAAGAATGCGTACTCACCCGATCCCATCGTGTGTTTTGATGACATGTTAGTAACCAGAGCCGTACGTTGGATATTCATGTGGTGGTGTCTGTGTTTCCCATGGGCAGGCTGGATGGTGCCTGTCCAGACGGCGTGAGCTGCGACTACGCCCACAGCGAGGAGGAGCTGGCCGAGTGGAGAGAGAGGCGGGACTTCCTGCGGCGCAAACTGTCCAAGGCCCGTGACGACATGCTGATCGCGCCCGGCGACTGTGACTTTGGGAAGTACAACTTCCTGCTGCAAGACTGAGGCAATGCCTGAAAAAAGAGACACACACACACACACACACACACACACACACACACACACACACACACACACACACTGCAGACATGGAGAGTGGGCAGGCAGTAGATATTCACATGTACACACACCGAATTAAGTTTGACTACACCGTCTGCACACATACATTCTGGGCATTTTTATTTCTTCTCCCGCACGCCCTCTGGCTGTGGTTCTCTTGGTTCTACCCCACAAACCCAGTGACAGGCAGAACCCAGAAGCCACACTGATACCCAGCAACCCCCCCCCCCCATTTCATAAAATGCCCAGCTTTCTCTGAGTATTAGCATAGTCTGGCCACCCCCTTCCTCCCCTCTTGTGCTACAGGCACGGTGGTCGACTGCAAAGAACCTCAAAGCAGAGAGGAGCGCGATTAATTTTTTTGTTTGTTTTAAAGCTGATCTTTGGGTAACTTGGTCCTCTGTGGGATTCTGCCTCCCTTAAGCTTTTGAATGGGTGGGACGTTCATCCGGCAGTTTTGCTTATTGATGGAGGAGCTAATTTTCTAACTACTAAAGCACATTGGAAGGAGGTGGGGCCGTCCTGCTGCATGGAACGGACCACAGCTTTTGTAATGTTTTATGATTCTTTACCTGATAACGAACAAGTCATGCTGAAAGTTTTATGTAGCAGTTAACGGTGATCTATATAGACAGTAACATACAGTGAGCTGGAGATTGGAAGGGAAAAAAACTGCAAATTGCGACGGACTGCAGAACAGCATCGCAGGCCGTGACGATGGGTGCGGTGTGACCTGATTGGATAGTGACAGTGGCCTGCCCTACAGAAAGTGTGTGAAGAATGAGTCTGATTCGGGGGGGGGACTCCTATTGGGGGAATAGGAACAGAGGCGGCGCTCAATAGGCTATAAGCCCCTCAAACCCAGCCTTAGAAACGTACCGTCTCATGCAGCGGAAGGGGCTTTGGCTTCAATGTGGGTGGGGGCGGGGATATGCAAATATCGACCTCTAGCTATTCGGCACACAGGAGCCAATGGGCTGCCCCGCAAGCAGCCCGCTGTGGAGGATGGTGCAAGAGAGGTGGGTTATGGGTACCCGTGATGTTCCCGTATGTATAAGTACACATCCATAAAATGCAATGCTGTAATGTACATCGCTAATATCAAGTCACATCCTTCCACATGCTCGCCAAGAACATATATATATATTTTTATATAGATGTATGTCTATATACTTAAGCATAATACAAGCATATAAATATTTACAGAATCAGTATACTAATGATATTTGATATCTTGGCCATAAAGCTTAATGAAGGTATAACGATTAATCCTGTATTGATTACGTAGTACCTCTTGTTATTGAGCTGTGCTATATTAACTGTATCGCTAAATTAGATTTATTAATAATTGTGCTTCTGTGGGGGTCATTCCAGAAACTGGTTTTGATGATTTGATGTTGTGTCACTGACCTTACTATCATGGCTGGTAGGATTAAGCTGAAGGAGGAAAGGGACTGTCAACTTCTGTAAGGGGTGTATGTTTCTGCCCTGAAGGAGGGGCAAAAATTTGGTTAGATGCAGCCAAAGAAAATGAAAGAATATCATGCGGATGCAGCTTCAGCTTGTGGCTGGGAGCCAACCCTGAATCACTATAACACGGACCTATAGTCATTTTTGATACATTCTTAGCTGTTCGACTCTCCCCCATTACTGGGGTTAATGGAACAGGCCGCAATATGGCAAATCAGGTCTTGAAGGGAATGATACATTAAGGAATCTGTCTATCACCAGCGAACCAATTAGAGTTGTGTATATAAAGAAGAGGCAGAGCCTTTTCTGGAATGGCCCAGATATATGCTTCATTGAGGGACCTTATTACTATTATAATTACAATTATGCGATTGCTGTTACAATTTCTGTTCTATTATATGTTCTCTGGAATTGATATGTATACATTAATTGTCATAACTCTATATGTATCAATGTATGAGTATAAATTTATAGAGTAAATAGATGTTTATGTATGCGCATGTTAAAATTTTCTGTCAAGGAAGGCAGGCAAAGTGAGATGCTGTGTTGAAGATTAAGACGCTGAAGGGCAGTTTTAGGTGCAAAGTTTCTGTTGTCTTTATTATTTTTTAAATTTTTGCAGAACTGTGAGGTGGTAGGAGCCAGTGCAGGTGCGGGGGGGGGGGGTAATGCTTAAGTGAAGTGATGCCGAGGTTTCGGCATCAGGTGAGAGGTGTGAGTAATGAGCCCCACCGCCCCCCCCTTCCAAAGAGTATCCCGTGGAGCAGCTGTCCCTCAAAGGCTGGGACATGAGCTGTACAAACCAGCAGGCTTACTGGAGTTTGAGGGGGTCGGTTGTCACATGAATGACATGGTAATCGAAGCATGCAAATAGTTCTTTACAGAAAACTGCACTGGTCCACTTTGCTAAAAGCCCCAGCATAGCAGTGTGGTGATTATATAAGATTTGCTCCTGTGGGACTTTGTACTGTCGAGTTGCTGTGTAAAGGGCCAAGGCATACATAGATATTTATTTCAAACTGTATAGCGCCTTATACAATCTATATAGATGCAAATATATATACCCTAAACACATAATCCTCTTTTCCTCTATATATAAATTATATAGACTTACTTGGGTACATGAATAAGATGTGATGATGCTTTGATTTTCCCTTGAATGATGTTAATGGGTGGAAGTCTGACAATGTATGACCTATGGAATTTTATTGCCCAGACTTGTTAATAATGAATACGGGTTATGTTCTTTGGCTGTGGCTAATGGATGTTCTGTGCAGTCTTCTAGGAGCCATCATTCTAATAGTGGACTGTAGCCTGCACAAAGACGGTCCACAATTATCTATTAGGCATGTGGGATTGTACAATCCCGAGGGTCACTTCTGCAAAAAAAAAAGTGTAATTTGCCATGCAGTGTCTTTAACCTCAGCCTTGGATGGGTGCATGGATGCTTTGGTAAGAAGGATGTTTGACCGAAGATAGTCAGGGCTTGTAGGATTTCCCATCGTGTTGGTGGTAAATGTTTGTCTGCTGGCTCAAGTGCAGGATTTCAAAGAAAGAGCAGATCTTTGTGTATGTGCTTGTGTGCATTGAACGACTGACACATTTTGGGATCACAGTCCTTCCTCTAGGGCTGATGGCACGTAAAACGATGCCTTTTACATTCGTACTTTGACTTCCCAGAGCTTTACGCTCCTCAGATGAAGGTCTGTAGGTTAACCAACCAATGCACACACTGATCAACTCAATTTCGATGTTCTTTTGTGTTGTTTAAAGTCTGGAGAATGAGTATGAACAAGGAGTTCACCAGCTGAAATGAAGAAGCCCACCTTTTTATTGTACTGTATTTTTAAACCCCCTCTCCTTCTCTCCCTGGATGAAAATAAGTAAATGACCATGGACCAAATCTTATGAAAATGTTTTAACAATAAAGACACTGTTTTTGAAAATGTGATTTTTCTCCATCTCTTTTTCTCAACTCTACCACAGTCCGATGTCGATAGTTTGGGAACACAGTGTATTGGAGTTGTCTGCTTTTACGACAGACTTCCTCTGTTTTTGACACTAAAACACACTGGCATCAATTCGCTTCGGGTTTTATGTCGACATCACTGAACTATGGGCAGCGACCTTGTCAAAGAGGAGTGCTTTGTGAAGCAGAATTAGCATTATTAGTCAAATCCCATTTAGTCCAGTATAATTTAACTTTCTTACATTATCCTGGTCAATAAATCCCTACATTTGACAGTAAGATGACATTAACACACAGGAAATGCAAAGTGAATTTCCAGGTTAAATTTGGTCAGTATGCAAAAACAATAAACTGCAGTAAGTTCGGTAGAAATCTGAAAGGGGGGGGACTTTTGGGGAAGGGCAGATGTGGGGCAATTGCTTCTTAACTGGCCATCAGGGCCACAAAGAGAGTTTGTCGAAAGGAAAAAAGCACTAGCTGCTCAGATTTAATCTGTAAATACATGGACTCTCACTGGCATCAAATACAGTTTATGGATCTTATTGATTTCCAATCTTTGTAAAATACATAGTTTGCCTACTGTCATAGTCTATTGATCAATGTGAATAGCTTGCTCCTCCACACTGAACCCTGTGGTTGGCACTGAATACAAGCCACATCCACATCGGGTACAGAGGTTCACTTAAAGTTAGACTCGGCGTTAAAATGGCCGCAGTCCTATATCTACCAAATCAGTGCCATTTGCATGCTAAAAATCTTCAAAACTAGATTACATTTTTTTTCATCGTTTTCAACAATAAATCTAATAACATACATTTAGCTATTCAACATTGGTCAATCTCGGGCAGCTTTATATAATTTTTCGAGGATTTTAAGTGGGAGATGGTTGCATTTTTCCTCTATCCTGTTACCAAAACTTCATGCAACTGTTTAAATTGCATTTGATTGGAAATTGCATCATATCAACTAGTTCTTATGTGTTCCCATAAAAAAAGTGTTATTTAAAAGAAATAATTGGTTACATGCTCACAAAATAAATTTGTAGTTTAGAAAAAAAATGTGTACAAGTTGTACTTCTGTCTTTATATGAGGTTTAGCATTAATTTAGCGAATTTGTGAACCATAACCACGTGTCATCAAAGCTAACAGTATGATGACAAGTAACCTTATTGAAATTGTATTTCCTTAATGTATTTATACATTTACACATTATAAATGTATAAATAAGTAAGAAATAATTGGGGTAACGACTGAGCGTCAAGTTCGACCGCCTCAAACATACTTACAATATCAAAAATCCTGGAAAGAAAGTGAGAGAACTTACTTTTGATGTTCCTGTGGTCTTCAGGTGACTGAGGTGATGCAAATCCCAGTTAAACATTATGCATATGGAATGTGCCAGATTCTTTAGGGACAGAAATGCATTAGGGTAACAGGACTGAGTGAAAAACTGGGGACTCAACTTAAATGTGCATTTTAACTAGCATATTATTGATTTAGTATAAGAAAAAAAGTATTTAAGGCATAAGCGTGGAATATTGTCACACAATACAAAAAAAAGATTTTTGAAGGTTTTTAATCATATTTCATTGTGAAGTGTAGCATGTGACCAGGGACTATTTTTTTGGTCAAAACTATTTTTTGCAGTGTTCTATTTCTTGCAGTTATTAATGTTTTACATTATGTATCTTAAATTTGCAATTAAGAAATTGTGAGGGGCGTTTAGCTTTATAATAACAACAGGTATTTTATATATAAAGCTACTTTTCATGCATATTTATACATATAATATCCTGGGAACATAAATGGCAGCGATTCGGCGGAATGGCCCATAAAAATCCGAAATGAAGCCGGAACTCATGCCTTCTTCCGGCGAAGATGCACCTGAAAAAATATGCCTATACCAGTCCTTCCCTGCTGTCTGCATTACAGACTCCCGAACGGGAATCCAACTTCGATATTCAACATTTAATATCCACCGAAACCATCTCACCTGGTTTACCTATCACACCACTGGAAAAAAAGGCCATCTTCTCAACTCATTCATACTTCTTAAATCGAACACACCTGTTCTCAAACCCCTATAATCATGATACCGCCCCTAGTTCACTTGTCACGTGAAAATCGAAAGCAATGTTGTCACACTATAATAACGTGTATCTAAGTGTGAATAAATCCTTCGACACCTTTATACAAACACAATTCACATTAAAGAGATTATGTTCAGCATACTTTTCTTAAAGTGAAAGTGGCATGCGGTGTACATACATAATAATCAGAACAGCTCGGAATTTTTAGTTTTATTCGACCAGTGGCCTGTACTACGAAGCGGGGTTACTGGCTTATCGGGGTAACTTGTCGGATTTAAGGTACCACCGTTTAAAATGGACTTCGTATTTGCTCACTTACATTTTGCCCAGACTACCTTAAATCCGACAAGTTACCCCGATAAGCCAGTAAGTTAGTAACCCCGCTTCGTAGTACACCACAGTAGGTGGTTTCATAACCACACGCGTAGTTTGTTGTGCAGTTAGGTAACCAAGCACATGTGGCCGTAGTGGCACTTTCCGTTGCTTTGCGTTCGCTAGCTGGAATCGGATATCTCACCTGCGGCGATAGTGATGATAGCGCACACTGTCATTGGTCAATTCTCTGCCGTTCAGCAGGCGTGGTTAGATAACTGGGATTCGCAAGAAACCTTGTGACCATAGTAGATTGAACTCAGATCTGCGTTAAAACTCTCAGAAAGAAGTACATGAGGTTTTTTGATTAACAGAAACCAGCGGGAGATCGAACTATTTTTCATTTTCTGATGCTGAAGTGCCATTTCTTGGTTTCGTTGCTGATATCAAGATAAAATAAGTTATCCGGGCGTCGTCGGAAATGTGTTCTTCCACCAGAGATGTCATCCACGAAGTCACAAGTGACATCCCAGAACTTTTTAAAGCTCTGCTCGATTGCCCAAACCTAGACCCCGACGGTAAGCATGTTTCCCACAATTAATGCGTTAATAGTTTTGAGTACTATGAGCAACAGGTCACAGCGACGCCGCGGCAACCAGTTTGATATGGTTTACCTTTGGCTGCAATTGCGTCTCTTATCCCGTGGTCTAAATCAAACAGCATGGCTAAACAGAGAAGCTAAAAGAATTAAAGTTTACAGGCACCCAAATACATACAATATCGAAATAGAATGTTTTGATTGTTGCTCTCATAGTAATAAAAGAAAATTTATCTTTATTGACGTTTGTTACAGATACAGAGCAAAATTTACTTAGAGACTAGGTTTTTTTTTACCATATAGATTAAGAATAGCGTAGTTATCAGTCATAAATATAAGTAAGAGACAGTCCGTCATGAACAGCTTTGTAGTTGTGGACACACGTGTAATATAATAATGATGCAATTGATATTTTGGAATAGCATCGCGTGGAATACGGTAACAGTGAAATAATATACTCATAAAGCGGTCTATTATTTTGATCGTTAGATAGATACCGCTACCAGATCAAAAACTCATCAATAGTTTCACTTAAGGAAAAAAAAGTTGGTGCTACCCTTTCGAAGGTCAATGTCGTCTTCCTCCAATCGTTCGTGGCACCTCGTAACTCTGACCAGTAGGTGGTGCTGTTCCATTGTCTGAGGCGGTGCGCTGAAGTTCTCTTATGTATCCTAGAAATTCAGAACTTCCTACAATCCCACCGTTTAAATCATGTATATGAAAACAACTGACCATTTACACATTTTAATTGGTGGTCTGCATTACAAATGATGTAAAAATGCATATTGAATAACTTTCGCTACTTCATTTTAATATTATGTGAATTAAGTGGGTAATACACGCAAATATTAATATTTTGATTATAATCAACATTAAACAACATGAACGGAGCTTTGTCGTTAACAAAAGATAACACGTTAATGATGTGAATTTTGGCACTGATCGATTAATTGTTTTATCCTTATTACAGAATGTTGTATATAGTAAGTATGCATCCAACAGAACGCTGGTTTGTTTAAATTAAATGCAATAGTAATTCACTGACTCCCAGGATCAGTACCCTAGTTACGGAGTGAAGGACTGACCCATTTTGTTGTGCTTTCTGAAGTACAGTAACTTGACATTGAGGAACCATTTCTATAGATAGCCGAAATTCTCCGTTAAAATCGAGGAAGGTTCTCAGTATAACATCGTGCTAATGTATTTTAATGAGTTTACTGTTGTGATTTCGTTTTCAAAAATAGGATTTCAAAAAATATATTGGAGGGGAAAAAAACAGAAGTGGTGGAATGCCGTTGGGTACAGAATGTTCTCTTGCACTTCCTGCTGAAAACCACACTGCAGTACTGTGAATAACACAGGCGCGTGGTGGGTGTGCGCGCAGTTCCAGTCTAAGTTATTGTAATTTTGTGAGTGTATAAAGGTGATCGCGCTGTTCTATATTTAGCTTTAATAGTTTTCCTGTGAAATTATCCTAGGACATTAACCTACCTACTGTGCGTATGTGTGAAGGAGGATATGTGGTTTGATTTGACTGCATGTAAACGATTCTCGAGCATTGTGCAGCTATTCCAAATGCATAGCACTGGAATTTTTTTAACGCTCCATTAATTAAGAGGGCTTAACGTAAATAACTGTGTTGGGAATTCTCCAGGTTCAGATGTCAGTATTATAAACATGCACGGCCTCACGGGACGCGTGTTTTGACTCTTCCCGTACACTGCAGCCCCGCCCACACGTGTGACACGTTTAATGTAGCTGCTGCATTGTCACTGACGTGTTAAGCGGCATGTGCTTGACCACGTGAAAGACTAAGATTACCAACAGATTAAAAACGACGCGGCGTCTGTGAACAGAATTAAATAGCTGTGTTCGTATTCACAACTCTCGAGTAATATTTTTGCTTAAAATGCCATGCATCCTTCATCTAACCACTTAGCCATATCCTAATAAGGGTAGTGGAGGGTGGAAACACTGTTTACTAAAATCCATTATGGATTTATGCAAGCTGTTATTACTGTCTGTATTACACTTAACAAAAAACTCAACATGTGCACGGGCAAGGTGCATTTTATGATGTATTAATATGTGAAGTTTCCAGTATCGCAAGTGAATGCCTGAATTAAGTTTTGTTTGTTTTACGCCAAACTAGAAGATCGTCAACAACACGTCACTCAGATCGAAACAGGAGACGACACTAGTAAACAAATCATTTTAATGTATGCTAATTTTAATTGCAAGTTTTCCGATACACTAGTTGATGAGTGTTTAGATTAAAATTACACACGTGGTAACTGGCTGCAAAATGCCTTTAACTCTGGCCAGTGATGAGCTCTGCAGTAAATTTGAAAGTATGGGAACTGTATCGATTCGGGCGTAAATGAAAATGAATATTCATGAGGATGGATGTATAACCTATTGATGTAAGGAGGCGGTGCTTTTTGGAAGGGGCGTAGTTCCCATGAATAACGAAATTACGTCCACAATCCGGGGAATCAGGTCAAGCGCAGGAGTGGTTTGTGGTGTCGGTGTTTTGATAGTCTAATTCGGGTCTAAGAGCGGACCCAAGGACAAACACGGGTCGGGGCTGAACGGAGGGGTACATGCATTAGGAGGAAATTCGCTACTATCGGGTTGCATGTGATCAAGCAGCAGATTCTTAGTTTGCTGGTGATCGTTAAGTCATCTCCCTAGCTGGTCGACAATGCCCGGGGAGTCGACCGTAACTGTTTCCCTGGAGTCTGTCTCCAGTCCCCCGAGTTCGTTTCCCGTTGTTTTGAAGAAGATAATGGAAATTCCCCCACCAAACATACTCGAGGACGGTGACGACGGTAAGGCACGGTTGCTTTTTGGGATTTACTGGGATGGCAGTGCGTGTTTACTTGGTTGTACGGAGAGCCGAAGTGAGCCGAGTGTGAACGAGTGTGGTCTTCGGGCAGACATCTTGCAGCCCGTGCGGCGTAGTGGATTATAGTACACGATGTACACAAACAGTGGCAGCGGAGCAGCATAAGCGCACCAAGGGAAGGGTGCCAGTTTCACGCATCGATTTCATCCCGTCGGACTATGTTAATGAAGATAGTTTTGCCATGTTTTGACGTAGTTCAAAAAAGTTAAATGTCTTGCACAGGGAAGTGTATCGGTTCTGATAGGTGCTTCAAAATATTTGCGGCTACGCGTTTGTTTACTTGAAACGTATATGGTTTAATTGTCTTGAAATACGGCTGATTTTACCCCCCCCGCTCCCATTCTCTTTTATTGTGCTTCATCACTGCCCCCACCCCGAACCCGACCTCCTGTAGAAAAGGACAAGGATCTGTTATGCGCAGCAGGAAATGGAGACTGTGGTGGATTAGGCGGGGGCAGCGGTGGTATGGGCCCCTCCGCCTCCTTAACCCCTGCTATATGGGACAAGACCATCCCTTATGATGGAGAGACCTTCCACCTGGAGTACATGGACCTGGACGAGTTTCTGCTGGAGAATGGCATCCCAGCGCCATTGGAGCAGGACCACCAGAAGGACCAGGTCAAAGAAGGGTCCCAGGAGCCTTCTGGGGAGACGTCCCCTGCCAGGTCAGGCCCGGACAGCACCGCCGACACCCCCCTGCTACCCGTGGTTGAGCTGGACCGGGGTGAAGAGCAGCTGGTTACAGTCACTGTGTCAGCAACGGAAAACGCGGCCAAGGCTGAGGACAGTGCCGGTGAGGATCAGTGACATGGCAACTGTCATGGGGTTCATTAATAAACAATGAAGGTATCACAAGCACAAACAAGTTCACAGATAGGAAGTGACTCAGGCTTGATTTGAAAAACAGCACCGTTAATGTAGTACTTTATACTGAAAACCAGATACCCAGTAATGGCGAAGCCGGTAATCCACATGTGACCTGGATTTTTGTTTGTTTATTTTGCAAGAGGTGGACGAAGATGTGGACAAAGATGTGGACCGCGTGACGCCCACCTCGATGGACCCGGAAGAAATCGAAGTGGAGGTGAACTTCCAGCCGGATCCCACCGACCTGGTGCTGTCCAGCGTGCCAGGGGGGGAGCTCTTCAACCCGCGCAAGCATCGCTTCTCCGAGGAGGAGCTGAAGCCGCAGCCGATGATCAAGAAGGCGAAGAAGGTGTTTGTGCCCGAAGAGCAGAAGGTAATGTGGGAAGGGGTGGGCTTGCTGCGGGTGGAGGGGCCCGACCTCCCATTACCCCCCCCCCCACACTGATTTCTACACCAATCACCACTCGCCGCTGCAGGACGAGAAGTACTGGCAGAGGCGAAAGAAGAACAACATGGCGGCGAAACGCTCACGCGACGCCCGCCGGCTGAAGGAGAACCAGATCACTGTGCGGGCTGCCTTCCTAGAGCAGGAGAACATGGCACTGCGCCAGGAGGTGGCCGAGCTGCGGAAGGACTACGGGCGCTGCAAGAACGTCGTGGCTCGCTACGAGGCCAAATACGGACCGATGTAAGGGCGGGTGCGAGCGAGCGAGGGTGGGATGGCTTACACATCCACCACTGGCCACCAGGGCGGCGACACTCGCCGGCCACTCTGACACGCACACGGGACGATGACACTACAGACACATTATGGTGGCTAGGTGAGCAGCACATGTATGTACGTGTTCACGCATGATATACACACATATTCAGTGCATACCTGATATGCTGCTACAGGCCAGGAGTGTCAGTCTGTGCCGCATCCTGGCCAAACGAAATGGATACCAGTTATTATCAGAAGGCTGCAGACGGTTGTGTTACACGGCACAGAACTCTGGGAATTCCACATAATGCCGTTTAGAATCCACAACTTTCAAAAATAGCTTGTTGTTAAAAAATACAATTTCACTTCTCCACCCCCCCCCATCCCCCCTCATGTGTTTTTGGTGACTGACATTTGTGTTTTTTTTTTTCCCCCCGTCTCAAGTGCCCCAGTCGAAACAGAGGTAGAAGACCAGTGAGAATTTATCGGTTTATTGATTCATTTGTGGTGGTGTGGGAGGGGGAGGGAAATAAATGAATTAATAAATACGTAAATTAAGCAGAGGACTAAAAACACTGAGCAGACGTTGGAAGCAGGTGAAAGAAGAGGAGGACAGGAAGTTGGTGTGTGTGTGGCTGACAAATTGCAGATGAAAGCGTGTGGCATTGTCTTTATGGTTAGTGTTTCCTTTTTTTTATTGATATCTGTCCTTTTTTTTTTGCCTTTGTCGTCGGTCTTTGTGTGTGTCTGTCTATGAAATTGTTCTTTCTGTGTTTATGAATAATTCATTTTAACGGGAGCCTGGAAAGGGGGCGATACGTTTGCCCATGTAGTCCTGTTCTTTACAGCAAGACGCGTGGGCAGATTTAAAAAGACAAAACTCCAAGGCCCACAAAGACAGTTAGGTCGAGCTTTGCAATAATTTCTCAAAAATTCTGAATTTTAAAATGGACATTTTTAATTTTTTGTATGTTTTTTTTAAAGGTGGGTGTACATTTCTCTGGATGTACTCTTTTATATTCTAGATAGAAAATGTTAAATTATAGGCTATTTGGTCCATTGTTGTATTGAAGAAAACTGGTTTCTGTATTTTAAGTTATTGAGAAAACCAGATATTGAAACATTCATTTGCTTATACATACTTGCTCTACAACAATGTACAGTGTATATTTCCCCACAAATATACGTCAGGGCTGTCCAGTTTCACACCTAAATGTGAGGGGTGGATGATGAAGCCCTCTAAGAATTAAAATCTAATTGGGTTTCAGTATTTTTCCAAGTATAAAATGGCATCCAGAATGCTCTTACCATGTGTAAGCATGTATGTATATTTATGTAAGTTGAAGAGATACATTTCTTAGAATCTGCAAAAAAAAGAAAGACGACACCCAGTGATGAAAGTCTGCTTTGAAGGGTGTGGTGTGCCCCATCCCCTGTTCACCTCACTGGCCTTGCAGGCAGGTTTACCCTCTTCTTTTCTAGTGATGTGGAACTGGAGAGGTGTTTTGAAATGGAGGAAACTGCATCTTTATGGGGGGTAAATGCCAAAATTCCACTTTGTATTTGAACTTGCAACACGATGCATTAAAAAAGGTCATTTCAGCTGGATGGAAAGGCCAGAGGGTGGGGTTGGTGGTGCTGAACTGGTGCGCCGCAGTGACCCTGAGTACTGGAACTCCTTTCACTGGATGCGTCGACCTCACAGGGACCTAAATCCTTAAGTGTCTTGAGCCCATACAGCACAAAGCCTTGTTCACCCGAAAGCAGGGCAGGATTGTTACATATCAGAAACCAAACTCGATTCTATATCAGGGCCATCACTTATCTTTTGTTAATTGATGTATCATTTTGTTTGATACTTAGTTTCGGCTTAGTGCTGAAACAATATTGTGTATTTTTTTCTTTACAATGTGTTAATATATTGCTTCCTGTTTGGATTACCAAGGCTTGAGGTACATTTGATGGTTTTTTTTTGTAATGTATGAATAGAAAACCTAAATTTTGAGATTGCAGGTTTTTGGTGTAAAATAGGTTCTTGTTTAAATTAAGCTTTATTTTTTTGTACAGAATCATAACCTGGACTATTCAGATTGCAAATTCATTTTCACCGTGGAAACTAACAAGGTAGCATGATGGACATGAATTGTGACCAGCGTGTTGCAGGTTCCAGGCTCCGAAGACCCACTGGGAACTATATTGTAAATTATGTAAGTTACATAAATGTCAGATAAGCAACCTGAAAATAAAACTGATTGTATTTATCTATTAGCAATGGTGGTGAATGTCTCTTGTAATTAACATAAGAGTTTAATATTGGTAACATATCTCTGCCAAATTAAAATAGCGATATCATGAGTATAAGCACCCCCCCCCGCCAAACACTGAATGGTCCAATCTGATCTGTAAGCAGAAGCCTTCGTTGGCAGTCTCCATGGGTATTATTCTGAATCTCTGCCATTTCTTCCATTTGTTGTTGATGCTGCAGATAAAGTGTCCCATTTTTCTATATGACAGATTGCAGCTTCTGCTCCCTGTTCTGCTGGCACATCTGAGTATGGGGGCTCGGCGCGCGTGTCGAGGTAGCGGCATGGGAGTCGGCTTGGCGGGCAGCACGCAGAGGGGGAGGGAGGGGGGGAATTACGTAAACGGCGCCCTATTAACTGGCAGAAGAGGCCGGCGGGAGCAACACGCGGCGGCGCTGCCCCTTTCCGACGTGCGACGGCAGCTGTGAAGAGCGTAACGCCTGCAAGCTCCATTCACAATCTGCTGCTCGCTTGTTGGATTTTTAGGAAGGATTTGTTTTATACGCCACTTTTGCGCTACCTCTTCACCACTGCGCACATCCTGTCCGGGGAGGGAATGCTACGTCTCCTACGCGATAATAAAGAGTTCCTGAAACTCAACCGGTTAATGCGACAGGTTTCTTCCCTTCCGGTAAAACCACTGCATTCGCATGCAAGAAACGTCAAGCAACACTGCTGGGTACAGACCTAGAGAGAGCGAGACCCACGCAGATAAGAACAAAGAGGGCCCTCTGTGTCGCCCGCCGGCACGATGGGCCGCCCGGCGGACCACGATCGCCGGTGTAATTGTTCCTAGGTTGTGTGTGAGGACCATGTGTTATGTAACCCATGCACATTGGGCTGGAATTGTGTAATCGGGGGGGCGGGGGAAGCGGGAGGGAGATGAGGCCAAGGAGTGAGGTGGAAGGGAGTGTAGGGATACGGAGGGGAGGAGGGCAGTAGCTTTATCTGAGGGGGAGGAAAAAACTAATGGTAATAATAAAGGCCATGATTTTAGTTATAAACACATTCATAATACATTCATAAAGCATTACAAGCATGGCTATAAATATCAGAAGGCATAACATATTATGGCCATTTTTATTATGTGTTTTGACTGCTTTATGAAGCTCTAATCTATAATGCACTATAGATACCTTTATAATGCATTATAATGGTCGATATAAGCATTAAGGATGCTTTGTGCTGAATTGTAAAGGTATCTTTAATGCTTTTGTTTTACAAATGCATTACAATGCATTATGGATGTGTTTAAAAATTACTAAAAACATGGCCTTATGTAAAATGTCACCAAACTAACTTTCCAAAGGCCAAGATATTTTTGTGGCCTTATTTGCAGCGGAGGGCGCTGCCACGTTTCGCCACACTAATCAGTGGAGCTGGGGTAACGGAATTAGCCTGGGCCAATATTACATTTACAGCTGAGCTTAGCAGACAATGGGCTCTCATTTACAGAATCGCACACTGCAGTTCGGCACCATTCACTGGGACTCCCTGGCAGAGCGTGCCTGTCGCTCTTGTGAATGAACGAATGGGCCCTAAATGCAGCTTTGTACGAAACGGCACACGCTCTGGGCTGTTAAGATTGGAAAGGGTGAGTCACTGCATCACCGCCATTCTGAAATCCTGAAACGAGACCAAACGCCGATGTCAAGGGTAACCGACTGAAAGGAGACGGCAGAGGTGGCAGGAAGCAGCAGATCCAGTTTTCAGGGAGTTGGTTTTGCAGATTGATAGATTAGCCTTGTGCTGGTTACGGCTTAGCATGCGAACAGACGAAAACAAGCGAAAAAGACCTTCATCTAGACACAGATCTCAGCTCTTTTCACCACAGAGACGTAGATACTGCTCCTTCCTGTGGTCCTAAATTTCCACCAATACGCTCTGGGTTCTCACACAGGTAGTGGACTGCCACCGCATGAAGGAAAGCAGGTATCATAGAAGCTAAGGACATGGATCCATTGTCCAGTTAAATCCCAGGAGATCCGCCGTGGAGCACCGCATCCAACATGGACTCCAGGAAAATATCCAGTAACACTGAGAAGGGAGTAAAATTGGAAACCATTCACATGAAGGCCTTTAAAAAGTTAATGTTAAATGCTAGCAATACCTAAAATAATGCAAATCATTGAGGCCACACAAGAGGATGACTTTCATGCTTTGGTGTCTTTTATTACAAAACTAAAAAAACAAACAAAGTCAGGTAAAATAAAATGCAGGCGTCAGCCTGCTGAGAGGAAAACACAGAACGGGTCTCCCAGAACAGGCAGGTACAGAATCTACAATGCAAAGACCAAGTACCAATCATACCCGCAGACAGTACTGTATTAGTTCGCAGACAGAAATAAACGATCGGTACATTTTTCAGCTCTGTGCTGCTTTGAATTCTAGAGCAGCCAAAGCGATGAGATAAAACTGGCTCAAAGATGTTGGTGCCCATCCATCAGGAACAAGTGACACATAATAATCGCAAGGAAAAATATTGCACGTCCAAAAAAAAAAAAAAAAAGTGCAAATGCTTCATCTTCACCTGTCTTCCATTAGTCTAGTCTGACATCAGAGCCTAAGGTAGGGTGAGGATTATGACAGCATCCCAGAATACTACTCAAAAACAGACTGAAAAGCACATGAAAAAAACTATTCAGAGAGCAGCAGTGATGTTTGAAAGCTTCATGAAGCGGTTCAATTCCAAATCTGCATTCTGTTAGCGGCTGCTAATCCAGATTCAGACCCAGAAAAAATGGAAACCAAAGAAGCCATTGGACTCTGGTTAACTAAAGACCCTCCAGAGCACGTTTACTTGCATTACATGTTAACCGATCTAGGCTGTAGGAACTGGACGTGTCACAACAATGGGGCGTGTTGAAGTCTGAGAAGTCTGTGCTGGCTGGCGGACTACGCCGCATGAACCTGAACGGGTTTCAGTGAAATATCTGGCCACATCAACTTATCCAATAAAGTAAAACTGCAAACTCTGGAGAAGACTTTACAGTGTCAGTCAAGTAGTTAAAAAGAGTGATGGATGCCTTCTAGAATGATCCAATCACCTCCTTTGGTATTCTGACAGATACCCCTAAAACAGCAGAACTAAAAGGAAATGTGTTTTGTGAAAAGAAATATCGACTTATATGATTGCGAGGTAGCTAAGTCAACAGTCTTGTGACTGAGAGACGCTCTGCTCCCATATTCACACTTTACCTAAACCCAAATTGAATTTCCCTCCATTTTACACCACCATCGAACCATTCTCCCGGATAACCTACATTCAACATTAAATACCAGTGTATTTTCATAGTCCATCATGCACATGTATCTCTATAAAGCCTGAAGACTAAAGAATCCCAACCATGAAACAGCCAATATAACATTTACTTTATATGATTGTAGACCATGTGTGAATTTTTAATGCTGATATCCTGCCACTCCTTATCGCACTTAACCTTAAGGTGAACGCACCCAAATGATTACACTCAATAATAAACCATGTGAGAAGCAGCCATCCAGAAAAAAAAACATTTATGTTCATTCATCAGTCATCTCTTATTCAAAATGTTAAAACCGTGCAACAATAACAACTCGTCCGTGACAGACGTCACAGAGTAATCACCCCATCCATCATACTTGTGGTGGTAATCTTCTCTCAATGTGTTCCCTAGAGACAGCACAGAGAAAAAAACAGGGTGCACCTGTGTTAGACGTCCAGAAGCTGTGGAAGTGAGGGGCCACTCTCTCTGCTCTCCTCACCATGGTCAACCATCAACCATTACTTCATGACCCGTTTCACTCTCGGATGGTTAGACACATTATCGATGCTTCACTGCTTCCCACTGCATGGATCACACACCCACAGTGCTCCTCACCCCGCCTCCCCCCCCCCCATTCCAGTAAGTAACCTGGAAGGACAGAAGGGTACAAACAGCCAATGGGAAACTTCTGAAGTCCATATTCATATATATGGGCAAATGAAAGCAGTTTTACAGTTTGAGTACACAATCAGAAAAGCATAGATGCCGTGCAACAGGGTCACGACCATATCGCGGAGCACAACAGCCAACGCACGGAAGCTAAATTCATTCAGATCAATTTTTAAATTTAGTGACTGGACTCCCTGTTCACAAAGACAATCCTAATCCACCCCCCCAAGCCTCCTTACCCTCCCACAGCAGTCTCTCTCCTTCACTGCGAAAGTCATGCTGGGCCATTTATCACCATCCCCAGTGCTTATCTGTTCTCCTCCCCCTTCCACTCTCACCTTCACACACTGCCGATGGGGACGCAGCTCTGTGTGTGTGTGTGTGTGTGTGTGTGTGTGTGTGTGTGTGTGTGGTTTCCCTTCCCAAGACAGCAAAGCCAGACAGCATCCCAGTTTCTCCTTCTCGAAATCTCTTCCCTCATTTGACATCCTCTCCCCAATCCTCTCACGTACTACTGCCATTGAGATGCCTGAGATACAAGTAAGAAAATCTGAAAGAGGAAGACAAATTCTCAGATTGCTAGATTCCCAGAAAAGTCTTCTTCCAGCACCGGGACAGGTAATCCTATCTGGGAGTCACATGACACGATGTGTCACCGTGCTCACAGACTGTCCTAGTTAAACGCAATGCGAAAGTCATGTTACAGCAGCCAAAAACACCTCAGTGTAGAGTGACTTTGCATGGAAAAAGTCTGTGACATTATCAATGTTTCAAGCCCACCTAGTGCGTTTAAAATGTCTACCTTTAAAAACTAACCGGGCTTGAAACATCAAAAACTCACGATTAACAGTCAAATTAAGATCATTCTGATATTGCATTCCAAACCTATTGTTCAACGTGGAGTTGGCTGATCTCTTGTATCACTTGGATTTTTTTCCTGAAAGGAGAAAAACCACAACCAGCAGTAATCAGACTGAATAAGTGTGAAAAAGCACCACTACATTGGTTTTCCACAGTGCTCATGGGACAGGTCTCATCAGCTTAATTTAAATCCATTAACATAACTTAAAAACTAGAAACAGATCGTTGAATGAACACTAGTCTGAAAATAGGCATGATTGTGAAAAGTTCAATCCTGGAAGACTGTTGTGTCTCTCAGGCACTAGGGAAACAGTGAACGAGAATAATATACAAGCCAAAAGCACGACTAGAACATCCCAGAAATGCATCAAAAGTCATTAACTGGCCAGTACTACAGGCTGGGAGCTGTGGTTGGTGTACTGCAGGTTGTACCCTGAAATTTCATCCATGAATGTTGGCTTCTCCAGGTAGGAAATTCCACCTCTACCACTGACAACTCCCATTGAATGACCTGGCTGGGAGCTCGAGAACAGGCCAAAGGTTGGGTGAACATGAAGAGGGTTCGGATGTGGAAGAGTGGTGTGGAGAGGCAGAGGTGGGACATCAGAGTCAAAGTTAAATCCCACTGGGGAGACTGGGTAGATGAACTCTTTGGCATTAGGAGACAGCTGACTGGACGTAGGACTCCCAAAGGAGTGTAGAGAGAAGGACCTTTGCTTGATAAGGCCGGCGTGGGGTACGGTAACGGGGGAACGTGAGGGCATGGCGGGCTGAGGTGAGATTCCAGGTCCAACTGCTGAAGCGGTACCCCCACACTTCATCTTGGTGGAGCCGAATTTGGTCGCAGCAAAACTGGCAGTTGTAAAGGTGACAGGGTGGGGGGCTGGACGGCCGTCGGAAGCAACTGGAAGCTGCGGCTGAGATTGACCATAATTCAGACGTGAATTTGGAGGAGAGGGGGTTGAGCTGTTTGATGAGTTAATGGCTCTGTTGGCTGCTGGACTTGAGCCAAAGTATTCAAAAAAGTTATGGTGGGATGAGGAGTGTGTAGGGGAGCTGGGGAGAGACCGTATGCCAACTGGAGACACCTTGCCTACTACTGGCATAAACATCTGTGCTTTAGGATTGAACCCTAATCGCTTGTCTTCCATCTTATCATTGCAGTCACCAAATACACACTCATCTTCAACGCTCCCAATGTCACAGAGTTGGACAGATGGGTCTTTTGAGTACAAGACTTGCACTTCCCCACTTTCCCCGATTTGATAGGATACCTCGTAGGGGTCAATCCACACGCTCAGCTCAGGGGGGACGTTGGCTCGTACCTCTGCCATGTCAAGCCCACTCCGCCTTGCCGCCAGCTCTACCACGGTGTCCCTGGCAGTGCCGAGGTGCAGGCAGCGAAAGGCACACCCCCGCAGAGGGGTCTCGGGGTACCAGTGGCCTTCAAAACGCGTCATCAGGAGCCGCTCAAGCTCCTCCCCGAACATGTCGGCACGGCGACGCGGCAGCTTGTCATACAGATATGAAACGATGAAGTTCAAGGCAATCTTCACCTCAAGATGCATGACTTCAGGGGCCACAAAAGGTGATACAGTGGCTCGATTATGATTATTCAGTTTGTAATGTGATTGTGGATAGTCAAATGGTATGTGGAAGATCACTGCAGGACGGATCAACCTTGGGTGCTGCTCTTCATAATGTAAGTGCGTCCAGATGCAGATTTAAGACAATTCACTTAGGCCCGCTCTAGGAAACCTGCCAGATGGCTTCGAGCATGCTTCTGGAGTGTCTGCACGCCGCGATCCAGAAACTCCCAGTGCTGTTCCTTCAAACAACCTGCGACTGGGCTGCTATTCCAGTTCACAACAATGGGGATGACTTGGTGTTATGGGTGGAACTCATTTGTTCAGCTGGGTGGCAGCTATACTGTCCCAAGATCAGTAATCAACAGCTTTTCTGCCGTCTCAATACACAGTCACCACAATCTGGAGAAGACAGAAATTCAAAGTAAATGGCACGACATGAGGTGACCTCGTGGGAATGCAAAGGACATGAAATACTCTTACAAAACAAAGACAGAGCAAAGCAGATATGGTAAATCTGTAAAGTAATCCTGCAGTTAAACCAGGACTAAGGTGTTATTATTTACTGTAGCAACAGTAACTATAGTAACACTAACCATAAAAATACACAATTGCCAAATCTATCTATCTTGCATATCATGAAATTCATTGGCGTTTGGGGTTTGACAAACCATTCTCTAGTTAAAATACATGGTTTGTATGTATTTTTAAACGAACTGTATTGTACCTCTACAAAAAAACACAGTAAAACTAGTTTCCTCTCTTTATCTATTCACTACAACCCAGGCAGTTTCCGCTATATTTCCAGCAGTGTAATGTAATACTGAACTGGACAAACTAATTAGGGCTATTACAGCAGTGCTTAGTTTAAGATGAGCGGTCGTTAATGGAAAATCCCGGTCCATAGGGAAACATACATTCAGTTTTTGTGTGGTGTACAGAGGTCATGAAACGTAGTCCTGACCAACAATATCCTGTCCGCTGAAATGGTTCAAATTCAGTGTTTTATACGCAACAAAGTAGTCTCCTAATCTCAACAACTACCAACATTTATAAGCTAATGTGCATTCAATAAAGCGTGATAAGAGTGGGGAAAGTGAGGGGAAAACAGCAGATATGTGTGACAGTTACAACATAGTAGAAACAACGCTATTCAGCTCACAGAAAAAGCAGAGTCCATGATAGTACAGGACACCAGGACAAATTCAATAACATCATCGTTTTTACAGCCATTAAAGTCTGAACATCACTCTGCTTAAATATCGTGACTTTGGAGTCATCTTTAAAACTGACCCATTTTGTGATATCCAATCTCACTACAAAAAAAAGCACGATGAATAGGAATATCCGTCATTGGATGCCCTATAAAACTACTGTGGAAATGTAGACTACAATGAAACACAAACGACAGAAACAATCTTTGTATGATTTTTCAGATCGCCGACACTTTCCAGCACATTAACTGCGGCATGATTACAGGCTTGTACCCTAATGAATTAATCTTGGGTACAGCCCTTTCCTGTGCGGTACACGCTGTTCCAGCGTTATTATGCAAGACTGTAGGAGCGCCCAGTAAGCTACGGCACGCAATATTTTAGATCATTTTAGGGCGTGATCGGAATGTGATCTATAAAATTAACTGTTATTTCACCAAAGTTACACGCGTAATGTATAATGTCAACTCGGAAAACACCTTACCAGAAAATGAGAGCACATATGTCCGTGGTTATCAGCACAAGATCAAATTTTGTAGCCGATTTTTCCGCTTTAACGTAACATATTAAAATCACTGAATATAACACTTCTTCAGTGATACATGATCCCTCACCGGCGCTCCGTACTTACTGCATGTCAAGCTTTCCCCCCATAGGTGCCGCAAGCTGCCAAAGTCTGACATGAGAGTCTAGTGCCACAACCGACTCGACTTATAGCTGCTCAGTCTAACGTTTTAATTTGTCGTTGGATTTTTACACAGTTAAATGCACATCCGATTGCAGCAGCGGTGATCTGGAAACGAAGTAACCAGGCAAAAGTTTACACCGCCGCGGTGGAGCGCATTTATACCCAAGTCGGTCGTCTGACTTCTCGGCTTACGTGACGCGGCTGACGTTGGGACTACTTTCGCGTGGCTCCCCAATTTTATTGATTCTTTGAAGTTATCTTTTATTAATGATGTATGTGCTATTTTAATGACTCGTTCGGAGTATTTTGTTTGGTGATGATGCCTAAAGTTATTTAAAAAGACATACATAACTATATAACCTGTATCGTATGGATTATCTTTTGAAGGTTTTTGAAAAGTAAATCATTTCTTTTAATACTATGTTACCTAAAATTGGTGGCACAGGAGGTAGCACTCGTGCCTCTAGTGTTAGGGGTTCGAATCCCACTTCAAACCAGTGAGTGGGTTTTGCCTGCTCTCTCAGTGTCGAATGGATTCCTCCTGGGTACTGAGGTACTCCTGCATGCCAAGCACATGCAGTTCTGCTACCTGGTGTCTCTAAATTGCCCAGTGAATGACTGAATTTGCGAGTGTCTGCCCTGTGGTTCCATCCAGGAAGTACCCTATGCAGCTTGGGACTGGAACCAGATACCCTTGTGATGCTGACCAGGATAAGTGATTGCAAGATGGGTGCATAATCTGATATGGAATGACATTTACTATAGATGAATTTTCTTAAAAGTCAGCAGTTATGTAAAGATTCCAGACATTTCCTTAAAAATATCTCACTGGTTCATCTAGAGAATCGAAACCTTGGTGTAAAAACAATGCTACTATGTCATTAATAACATGGCTAAGGACTGCAGGAGGAAAATATATTTCTCTGTTTCCATTTCAATCAATTTACCTACAGGGGCACACGGTAGGTATAAATCAGTGATATTTATAAGAACATATTGCAATAATGAAACGTAAAAATAGCTGCAGCCTTGAAACGTATATCAAATCATTGCAATTGTGCATCTGAGAAAAAACCTTGGGCAGCTGGTCTTTTCATAATAATGGAAGCGCATTGTGTTTTGCCAGAAGTATAAGCAATGACATGGCCACACAGCCTCATTTGGCTGATGGACGAAATATTATCTAATTGGGTGCCAACACAGTCAGCTTGAAAAGAGAGGCCACTCATCATGAATAATGTAGTTCACATTTTCAGAAATCATTTAAAAAGTAAATTGTATTTTTAATCCACCTCAGTATATGGATTTACACCATTTAGGTCTATGGTTTTTTCCATCACCATTCAGTCAGAAGAAAACAAAACTGACAATGATACAAAGAACTGAAAACACTTTATTATGCTCAAAAACTTTTGTGAAAAACAGACCAGAAAAATGGCTTGGAACAGCTCTGCAGAGAACAGCACCGCTGACGTCCACGCTCCCACACGGGTTCACAGCTTCACCTCTTCTTGAAGCCGTATTTTTTCCGCTCGTAAAAGAGGTCGGTCTTGGAGCTCCCCAGGTTCACGATCTTGGGGCAGCCATCTCTCTGCACAGCAGGACAGGAAAGGGATCGAACACATCGGAATGTTTTTCTTTTAAAGTACAGACGGAGGTGCCGTCTCCAAATGAGGCAAAAAGCTTTTTCCACATTAGCAACATAAAATATTAAGATGACCAACGTTAAGAGCATTAAAATATAAATATGCATGACCGTATGAGTGAGCAAAAGAGCTTTACACATACATACAAAACATAGCCAGGCAAAGATGATAAAGGCTTCATACCAGTAACAAAATCATAAAAAACCCAAATAGCACATCAGATTTATAAAGTCTTAGGTACATGTTGATTTCATGTCTTTTTAGACGCAATTACATTTTTTCAAGCAGTTTTAATCCCTGATAACTCACAGAAAATCCACTAATTAGTTAGAAAACTGTGACACTCACATCTTTTTCCTGGATGGTGCACTCCTTGCAGTAATAGGCATCAGACACTCCCGGTCCTCCGCAGATGACACAGCGTCCCTGATAGGATCCGTAGTTGCATTCGTCACAGATACGCACCAGTGTGCAGGGCCTTACGTAGGAATCGCAGATGACACACTTCCCATCACCTGGGGGGGGGGGGGGGGTCAATGATTACTATATATAAATCTAAGGATTTATAGGTCCATAACCACCAGAGAGTTGTGGTGCAACACCGCTGATGTAAAGTGTTACACAAATTTAAACTATATGTTCAGAAACAATAAGTTAAATTAAAAATGCCAACAAGATGAAGCACTAAAGCCACAGGTTTTAGTGCAGAGAAGTTAAAAAGTACTTACATTTCTCACATAATCGTCCAATAGCTGAAAGAAGAACATAGATAAACATTAATATATTAGAAAAAGTTTCACATGTCTACATTATTTTTAATATATTATATTTTTATTTTACCAAATGAGGAGGGACAGTCTTGGCCATAGTATTTACAGTCAGATATAAAAAGTAGTAGTCTAAAAACTTAAGGTTTCCTCAATCTTTGTGTGGTATAAACATATCAGCAAGCTACTGAAGCGGCAGACATTGAGTAACTAAAATATTCAGTTTCTACTTATTTTACAATATATATTCTTAACCAGCCTTACTTTAACAACGCCCTATGTTAAGGTAATACTAATTTTTATGTCCAATGATAATGGAAATAACCGATCTACTCCAAACGCCAGCAACGGCGATAGATACATGCCGGCTCGCTGGTAAACAATGCGAACATCCTTATACATCCTTACCTTTACTTCGATAGTACATTTCCTCATTCGTGACAGAACTAATCGGTGAAAATCAAAAGTGAAATCTTACCAACGCCAGCTTGCTTTCTGCAGAAAATCAAATCTGGATGATGCTTGGCCATGTTGAACTGGTCGTAAACGTACTGGCGCAAGTTTACCCTATGAACTCCGACCTGGGTGTGACCTTTCAACTTTTTTTTTTTTTTTTAACAAAAAAAAAGAATATGCTACACTAAATTATAGATAATATAAATGTGAAGACTCTCATTGAAATTATACAACAAATATATTTTACAATAGCAAAAATTTAATTATAAATCTTTTAGTAATTTTGAAAGTTAAATGCGCATGCATCAAACAAGACGTGTTGTATTGGTTATGATTAACGAGTAAATGCATACTGCCATCTATCGGAGTGGAGTATTGAGGGACTAGTAACGCAGTTGCATGTTGTTATCCATACCCGCGCTGTACAACGTCTATTTAAATGTTGATTTTAAAAGACACCTTAATACAGCTGTAATACAGAAACTTCTTTATTTGTGTAGTAAAATTTCCATTTTAGAATATACCAAGGACACTACAAGCTCCGTTTAGTTCAAGTGGAGGTTAATTGGAATGGTGCATTTGCTGCTGTTGAATACTGCCGAATAAGTGAAGTAAATAATTAGACAATTCATTTGCTGTACATATTCTGTGATTGTGGCGAAAGTGTTTATGTAGTTTCTTCGCAATATACAAGAAGATATATATTGTACCACGATGTTGTATCAGTTTAAAATTGTGCAGCTATCCGTCAGTTCTCGTCAGACCATTTAAAGGGCTGTGTGCATCTTCATGTACGATTTCCAGCACCGTGATCTGTTATTGACATTTTAAAGTACTGTATGACAGCGCTCTTACACGTCGAGATTACCTTTCTTTTTAATAAGCATGCACTTAATTCAGGTGGGGTGAAAAGACGGGGAAAAGATGCATCGGCAGAGTGTAGCTGCCCTGGATATCGTGCTGCTCAGATACCGAGATACACATTTATTTCACAGCATAACAATTCAGAATCACTAATTGACCTGTGCGGTATGTTTGTACAAGTGGACTACTCGTAAGTAACACATGGTACTCCCGAAAGAACATGTAAACTCCGTCAGACGTAATTCTTAATGAAATATTTTATATTTAATGCTGGAAGATATTATTTCTGATTGTTTTATTGCAGACAAAAAACAAGTACATCGATGCGCTTGCTGATCTATTATTAATGTCCGCAAAAGAAGGAACACTGAAAATGCTGCTCAGCTTTTTCCTTTAAGTTAACTAATCTGATTTTCTCTGTGGAAATCAGTTTTAAAAACTCTAACTGTATGTCAGAGACAGAAAGTTTAGGTTCATAAAGTACAATCCAAACCAAGATTTTGTTTCAACCAACCAGTTGAGCATAAATAATCGTATTCACATAGTAATCAAAGTGGTTGATTGAAACAAATTTTTTCTCTGGATCTGTACTTTCTGGACCTTAACTTTCCACCTGTACGATCACACCGAGACACTGACTAGGATTAAAAACTTGAACGAACACATAGCTCGTGAGCCTCGTGTTACGAAAGATCTGCATCACGCATGCGTGATGGGTGCACGCAAAGCTATAAAAGTCAGACTGAGCGTCATCTTAGCGCGACACATCTTTGTCAGTGAACAAAATGGCGACGTATTGTCTTACTGCAACCCGGCTTCAGGTGAGAGATTTCTTGCGACTTTAACCTTGCTTGCACTGAAAACATTATTTTCATCTGAATGTGTGAATTATGACAGGATCAAATGAGCGAAGGGGTCTTGGGAATATATTGGGGAACCCCGATACCTCCTAGAAGTTGACATAGGTCATCTTATGTGGTCTGTCTAACCAGTTAATTGCGTCATATTAATTAATCTACATTTTCAAATACAACAAATCGGAAATTATCTGCACGTCTCATTAGAGTCCGACCTCTGCTAGGGATGTCTTTAATGCAAGCGGCATGGATGAATAGATAAGCTAGCCGGTTAGCTCTTGCAAGGTGATCACAAGGTTATTGGCATGTAGTTCGTGCGTCTTTCTCGCCCGTTTAAGCAGTGTGTTTATACGTGTCTGGGGAGAAAACGCTGCCTTTGGGTGCTATGAATCACTTTGGCTTAAGCCTATAATTGCTTGAGAGTTAGACGATATCTAGCTATAACATTACTTAACATTACATAAACATCTTCTCTTAAACCGCTAACTAGTATCACGATTCTTTTTTCTAGATGTTTGTGTTAAGTGTCATCAGTCTTGTCTCTTTCAGTGACAGCTTTTTCTTACATGGTTCAATTCCCTTTTATGTGTTTATTGTGGGTAGCCATGATGGGGCAAAATTAGGGATGTCCATTTCGGATTGTTTCGTCACCGATAGTTGACACTCGCTAATCGACTATTAACCGTTAAACGATAAGAAGAAAATGACTGTTTAATGGTTGCGTGTCCGGCACCAAATACCAATACAAGAAATGCTTTAGAAATTAGAAGTGCTTTATTTTTTCCAAGTGAAAACACTTGATTCTTTACATAAGTCATGAAGTTAGCAGGCTTTGCAATGAAGAAAACATTTACTCCGTTTCACGGGTAGGTCCGGCACAGTCTACATCTCCCGTGTAGAAAAATATTGTAAAACTCAAATGAACTGCAAGCGGCCTGCACACTTTTTAACGTGAAGCATGGAGAGTGCTGTCACAAAAACCAGCTCCGCTATCACGAATGGTTAATCTTGCCGAATTAATGATCAGCAACCGACGTTTTGACAAGAAGCAATGTTGTCACACCTCAAAAATAAAATAAAACAAAAATAACTACAGCCCACTTCAACCCTGAGTATAACTGATAGCTTGTCTACTGATTTTTCTTCACCAATAGCAACATGTCGGTCGAAATGCTGTGTTGTAGTCTTGTGCGCAGTATATAGACTGAGACCAGCGGCAGAGAATCGGTCTGATGTCACCCTCTGCATTCTATGCTTTTCCACACTGGAAACTTTTAACATTCCTTTTTTTTTTAAAATAAACCGTTTACCTGGTTAAGAATTCTTATCGGTTAAACGGTGAATTATAACATCCCTTGGGTAGGTAAATAGTATTTTTGATTAACTCCTAAAACTGAGTTAGGTTTGGTTTAGGTGTGACCTGTACCTGCCTGGTTCTGGTTACTTTACTCCAAACTGAATTTATCAAGCCCTCTAGTGTCAGATGCCATTTCCTTATTTTCTCCTGTTTCTAATACTCAGTGTCAGTTTGTGACTCATCCTGATTGAAGCCCAGTAGGTGATTGGAAGCTGGAGTCCTTTTTATATGAATAGGCTTAATCATTCACCTGATTTTAGTTTTTGTACAGTTAGGTTTCCAAGAAGACAATAAAATGTAACTGACAAAGGATACATAAAAGCAGCATTATAGCTAATTATTGCCAGTTTTTATTGAATCTAATGTTTTACTTCGAGTTAAAAAAAAAATAGTTGGTGAGTATTTCTCCTCGTGATAGTGGTTCATTGTAAAATGTGAACTTCTCAGCGGACCACAGAGGATCAGCTTTTTCTGCATGTACGTCTTCCTTATAGACGAGGCATTCCGAAGGCTTGCACTTCTATACATCGTTTGCTCTGGTCTTGAGATGTTGTGGGTCTGTACATTGGCATCGTTTGGGGCGGTGAGTGACTCAGTGGGCTTAGGCTCTGTGCCTGTGATCGGAACATCACTGGTTTGAACCCAGCCTCACCGAACAGTCACATGCGGGCCCTTGAGAAGGCCCTTAACCCCCAGCTCCGGGGGCGCAGCACATTGGCTGACCCTGTGCTGTGACCCCCCCCCAAGCTATGGAGAGCAAGATGGGTCAGGCGAAGAAGAATTCCATTGTACCTGTACTTGTGCAAATGACAAATAAAGGATTTAACCTTTAATCCTTAAAGATGGCATGGTTCTGTCCCCCCCCCCCAGCTTGCCCTGGGACAGGGGGCTCGCCGGCTGCATGTGGCAGCAGCCCTCCGCGTCAAAGCCAAGGTAGCCGTCAGCCGCTTTGAGCCGACCGCCTATGTCAACTATGAGAAGCTGCGCTCCAGCATTGACACGGTACACAAAAGGTCAGTCTGCCCTTCACTCCGGCTGCTTTCAGTGTCCAGTGCCCGGCTTTATCTTTTCTGCACTTTTATTCTTTGTCATCTGTGCTTGTGCTGTGTGTTTTCTTTACCCTGAATCGCCATGAGACTTGCAGAATCTCATGATCTGATCAGATTGCCTGCACACAGGAACCTAAACCTGTTTGCTTATGCATTTTAATACAAACCACATTTCAAACATTATGACTGTACCTTTTTCGTGTCTGTGTTTACTTGTTTGCTGTTGACAGTAGCTGTGTGGGGTATTTACAATTGTAAATTGGTTGAACATTGAATTCCGACCTGGAATTTTAAACTTTATTCTTTTGTCCTGTAATTTATATTGGCTGGGAATCATATAATAGAACCTAGAGTGAAGGTGATCAGTATTTAATCCAAGGGCAGGATTTCTGTTGACTTTGGCCATTGTGCTTTGATGCTGGGAATGGCAGGTTTTAATGGGAATGACAGGTTTTTTTTGATGCACCTGTCTGTCTTTTATTTGTTTATTTCTAATATTCCTAAACTCTAAATCAGGGTTATTCAAATCATGGTCCTCAAGGTCTGAGCCCTGCTGATTTTCCAGCCTTCCTTTACCTGTGAGCCACGTGTAAAGCCTCTGGCCAATCAGAATCAGTCATTATTAAACGAACTACTTGGGAGAACTGAAAACACGGCCCGGATTTAGAATCGAGGTCCAGATTTGAAGATCCCACCTCTAGATGGATCATTGGTTGGGTTTTATTCATGATTACATTTTTGGTAGCAGACTACTTAATTTGTTCAGATGTTTTGGGCACTCTGATAATTTTCTTTGCATATTTTCCTCCATTTAAATATTTATGATGATACTTAAGACTGGCACCTAGACTTCCATGTGATCTCTTGCTGGGTTGAGGGCACCAGACTAAACCATAGCACAGAAACAGCCCTAGTAAGAGTAATGAATGATTTGCATATGGCTTCTGACCGTGGCTGTGTGTATTTGTTGGTGTTACTAGATCCAGCTACAGGATTCCATACTGTGGACCATAATCTTGGACCAGCTAGAATCTGTGGTTGGCAGATTGATATAATCCATTAACATTATTTTTCTGTAGGAAGGAAGACGGCTAATGATTGACAAGTATTTCTAGGATTTTTGAAATGAAAGGAAGATTTGAGATGTATTTTATAATTAATTATTAAATCGCCTAGTTTCATGATTTGCTTCCTAGAGTTCAGGTCTAATAACGGCCATTTTGAAAGGTTTTGGAACATATCTGAGCCTAACAGACCGATGTAACAAGTTCTACAGGGCAGTTCTAATCAGTGGTGCAATCTTGAGAAATTTTGTAGGAACTGGGTCTACAAGACCTAGTAGAAAATTTGCAGGAGTTCAAAAATTCTGATTTGTTTTATAGGAAAGAAAGATTCAAAGGTGTCATTATCAGAGCGAATAGGACTAGCAGAAGGCTGGCAGCTGTACGTAGCTACAGATGTGCACTGCATGGTCTGTCTAATCTTAGTCTAATCTTAGTCATTTTACCATTAAAAATGTAAAGTCATCACTCCTAAGTTTCTGGATTTGTGGGTTTAACATTGAAGAATTCCGTGTTAACTTAGACAGGAATTGAGGATTATTTTTGTTCTCTTCTATAAGTCTGGAGAGAGACACAGACCTAGCAGTCACTAGTGCTTGTCTGTACTTAGAGAGACTCTCTTTCCAGGCAGATCTGAGAACTTCTAGTTTAGTTGAGCGCCATTTGCGCTCTAGCTTATGTGAAGCCTGTTTAAGTTCATGTGCATGATCAGAGTACCAGGGGACAGGTTTCTTTTCTCTAGGCTTTATTTTCTTAAATGGGTAGTTCACTCCAAAACTGAAAAGTGTGTGTTTTAGAGAGGCTTTAGTGCTGTCTATCCATCTAGGTTGTTCCACTGGGAGATGCCTAGTTTTGAAAATATTGGTGGCAGAATTGTCAGGCCTCTTTTGAACATAATGCGATTGAGTGGAATTCTTTCTGTGGCAATTAAAGCAATATCTCTTAGCAAAAATTGTAGATAACCCACAGACTTTGTAGTGAGTACTTTAATGCAGGCAATCTTTCTTCTACTGAACGTCATCCACCAATCATATTACTGCGCAGAAGATATTGTCAGGGTGCTCATGCTGGTATCTTCTGCACAGTGATACGATTGGTGTGTGTAGTTCACGATCGCCACAGACCTCCTTTTCATTGGCTGTTTAGTGGGATGCCCAGTCCCGATTGGTTCTGTTTAGCGGGATGGTTACAGGCAGCATTTTCAGCCTTTTAAATTAGCTTAATGGCTTAGGCTGTTTGTAGATGGCCCGGCGATAAACATCTGGCTCATTTAACCCCCCCAGCGAGCCGCGATGGCTGCATAGGGGCCCCGTGCAGCCCTGATGTTTAAGCTCCTGCACGGCTGCCAGTGTCTGAACCAGCTCTGCTGGAAGAAGAGAGAGCGGTTTTTATTTTGGATCGCCTGTAATATAGCAAGCAATGGTAATGGGGACTGGCAGGTAAAAAATGTCGCAATGTTTTATTTTTATATCAAATTAAGGACCCAGAAATTTAAAGTCACCCCCCCCGACCGAATGAGTGGGTACCTCACTTTCATTTCCACACCACTGATTGTGAGATTTTGGTACAAATCTCCTGAATTTTTAATTTATTTTTTCTTCAAGTTTCATGTTAATTTGAGGGTGAAATTGACCAATATTTCTGGTTTCACTGTCGAATTTAAATGGATAATTTCAGAGCGATTTTTGAAGGACATGGGGACAAGGCATACAATGGCAAAAGGAGTGAGGAATATCCTTTATTTTTTGTGAAAAAAATTTAGATGTAACATTTCTGGACAGAGAAATAAGTTGAATCGGAATCGTTTTGGGCTATTTCTTGCATGTTCCTCCAGTCACTGTCTTTGCCTGCTGATACCGAATGATAAACGAGTGCTTTGCCCTTTGTTAGGCTCTGCGACAGCTGTGCGGTAATCGCCTATCGGATATGTGATACTGTCCCCGTTGGGCTGTAAAGGACACTCTGAAGGACCTCAGCAGGTGGTGGTGCTTGTTGTGTTCGGAGTTTGATTCTTTCTGTCTGGGACGGATATCCAGGCTGATGGGAGTAGGGATGTATGTAGCAAGAACACAGACTTGCATCTCGTCAGTTTCCTTGTTTGAACCCCTTTCTCCAAGGCTGAACCGGCCGCTCACACTGTCTGAGAAGATCGTCTACGGGCACCTGGATGACCCGGCGGGGCAGGAGATCACGCGCGGGCGCACCTACCTGCGACTGAGGCCGGACCGCGTGGCCATGCAGGACGCCACCGCCCAGATGGCCATGCTGCAGTTCATCAGCAGCGGACTGCCGCGCGTGGCCGTGCCCTCTACCATCCACTGCGACCACCTGATCGAGGCCAAGGATGGTGGAGCCCAGGACCTACAGAGGGCCAAGGTGGGCCAGGGGAGAGCCTGGCATGGTGGGTTGGGTAGGGTTAGTCTGGGCTATGGGACTTTAAATTTAAATAAATTTAACGGACTCGGAATGGGACTCGGAATGGGACTCGGAATGGGACTCGGAATGGGACTCGGAATGGGACTCGGAATGGGACTCGGAATGGGACTCCATTGATCCCTGAGGGAAATTCTAGTGCACATAGCAGCAAACATACTCCAGAATCCTCAATCAACCAATGCATATTTACCACGAGGAAATTCCTGGTCCATCTCGCCGAAAGCTGGGGTCATCGTGACTAATATGGCTTCCCTCACGCTGACCCTTCCCCATCCCCGTGTCCCCTAGGACGTGAATCAGGAGGTCTACAGCTTCCTGGCCACTGCTGCAGCCAAGTATGGAGTAGGCTTCTGGAAACCTGGTTCCGGAATCATCCATCAGGTATTGAGTGTAGATGATACACACAACTCTTATTGCACTCATTTTGGTTGGGTTAATCTTGATCCCGCAATTAGGTGTTTAAACTAAGTTAAAGTTCAGAACTTAAAGCATCTCAGAAGTGTGACTGAGCCAGTTTGGATTATTAAAAATGTGCCAGTAATGGGTTACATGTCATATGGTACAGTGACTGATCTTTGTTGCTGCCCTCCTAGATAATCCTGGAGAACTACGCGTACCCTGGGGTGATGCTAATTGGCACAGACTCGCACACCCCCAACGGAGGAGGCCTGGGAGGAATCTGCATCGGCGTGGGGGGGGCCGATGCCGTCGACGTCATGGCTGACATCCCCTGGGAGCTGAAGTGCCCCAATGTCAGTAATTTTCCCCCCTCCCCCTGTAAAATGATCTCGCGCTCCACCACGTTCAATGCCAGCCAATCAGAATTTCGCCCTCCGTCGCAGGTGATTGGTGTGAAGCTGACCGGCTCCCTGTCTGGCTGGACGTCCCCGAAGGACGTCATCCTGAAGGTGGCCGGGATCTTGACGGTGAAGGGGGGTACGGGGGCCATCGTGGAGTACCATGGCCCGGGTGTGGAGTCCATCTCCTGCACGGGTGAGTGCCGGCCCGCCTCTTGGGGACTTGCTCGGTGACCGACCGTCCCATCATTATTGTCGACGCCCCTGGTGGCGGTCGACCCCAGGAAGGACACTGGTTTTTGCCCTCCCGGTTCCCTGAAGTTCCCGGTTCCCTGAAGTTCCCGGTTCCCTGAAGTTCCCGGTTCCCTGAAGTTCCCGGTTCCCTGGATCGGATGTCGGTGCACATGTGGGCCTCACCTGATCCTCCTGTTTCCTCTCTCCGTCCACTAGGAATGGCCACCATTTGCAACATGGGGGCTGAGATCGGGGCCACCACATCGGTGTTCCCCTACAACCACCGCATGAAGAGCTACCTGGAGAAGACAGGCCGCGCGGGTCAGTGCTGACATCTGGGAAGGAGGGGGTGGGAGGCACGACGCGGGGGTGGGTATCTGCTCGTCCGGCCGTCTTTTTAGAAACCCCTGTTCCCCTGCCGACCGTCCCTCTCCGCCCCCGGAACCCCAGGACATCTGGCTTTTAACATGCCCCATTCTGATCGCTGGCTTTAAAATGTCCACCACTGTCCCCGCAGATATCGCCGCGGCGGCGAACGAAAACAAAGATATCCTGGTGCCTGACGCCGGATGCGAATATGACCAGCTCATCGAGATCAACCTCAGTGAGGTTAGACACGCAGACATACCGGCTGAATGTGGCACATAAACCACACGCATGCTGAGTCGTCAGGGCTGGAATAGGATACAGGATTCATGTGCTGTAAATATGATTTGATTTGTCCGAGACCTCAGAGGACAAAGAAGCACATGGGTAGGCAAAACTGGAGGTGTAGATGAAGCAATTGGTTAAACTAGATTAGATTAGAAATGTGGGGGTTAACTGTGAATTGCATGAGTTCGGTATTGAGTTATGGTGCTATGGTGCCCCCCTGCCCCTCCCTCGACAGCTGAAGCCCCACATCAATGGTCCCTTCACACCTGACCTGGCTCACCCAGTGGCAGAGATCGGGGCAGTGGCTGAGAAAAGCGGCTGGCCCCTGGATGTCAAAGTCGGTCAGTATGTGGGGGCGGATCCTGGCAGCTTTAGGGGAATACCGTCCAATCAGAGCCAGATTGTCGCTTACCCCGCCCCCTTCTGGCAGGCCTGATTGGCAGCTGCACGAACTCCAGCTATGAGGACATGGGCCGCGCTGCCTCGCTGGCTAAGCAGGCCCTGGACCGCGGGCTCAAGTGCAAGGCCCAGTTCACGGTGTCGCCGGGCTCCGAGCAGATCCGCGCCACCATCGAGAGGGACGGCTACGTGAGTGCGGGGGCCGCGGGGCTGGGGGCCACGTTCGCGGCATCTGCGGGGGCCGTAGGGCTGACTTCCTGTCCGTGTGCCCGCAGGCTCAGATCCTGAGGGACGTGGGGGGCGTGGTCATGGCCAATGCCTGCGGCCCTTGCATCGGCCAGTGGGCAAGGTAGGTCTCCCCCCGGGTAGGTCTCCCCCCGGCTTGTGCCGGTCTGAGCGCAGGCCTCTGAAATGCTTTGTTTGCATGCAGGCCTTGCACCCCTGTGCCTGTGTTGGTTTTAGGCCTTGTAATATTAAACTTGTTTCGTATTTTAATTTTAAACATTTTTATCCTGATTCTTTTATCTTTGTATTTCCCCATTTTTGTATATCATTTTTTCATTTATTGAATATGTGTATGTGGATATCAAATTTGATCCGCTTCCTATCTCTACACGAGTAGTTATCGAACGAGCCTGTAGACACTGACATGGCATTAGACTGCAACCTGCGTGTGTTTTGTCTTGGGACAGGATTATAATGGTGAATCGATTCATCCAATCATAATCGCCCTTACATTGGATTTGCAGTTCTGCATGCAACACTGTCCCTGAGTGGGGTCGCTATACAGTTGCCTCTACCTCTAGAAAATCCGCGATCGAATGCGAGTTGTTTTAGGGGAAAGTACGTACCGAGGTGTTCCTTTTTACACGTGTTCGGCTTTATTTGATTCCTGCCATCGTTGGCGGCACTCGGAGGCTGCGTGCTGCGCTTCTGTGACGCTGCTGTGGTGCAGACGTTTGTCACAGCCGCGCGTCGTCTCTGTCGTGCAGGGGTGACGTCAGTAAGGGTGAGAAGAACACCATCGTCACGTCCTTCAACAGGAACTTCACAGCCAGGAACGACGCCAACCCGGCCACTCACGCCTTTGTCACCTCCCCAGAGGTGGGCCTCGCCTTGCGCTGCTTCTCATGCTGGATCATGTACAGTATCGGTCAGAAGTTTGGACACACCAGGCCGCCTATAAAGGGGGGTGGTAGTGTCATGTCTCGTGACCTGGTCATGCTGGATGTTCATACTCTTGGATTTGACCTTTCCTGATTAATGATGGGCCGTTTCGTTTTTGCTTCAGGTAGAAGTTTCTGGAAAAACCTGCATTTATACATGCGCTTGTTTATTGAGGCTGCTTCTCTTCGTGCCCCCGCTGTTCTCCGCCCCAGATCGTCACGGCCCTTTCCATTGCCGGCAGCCTGAAATTCAACCCAGAGAAGGACTTCCTGACGGCGGCCAACGGGGAGAAGTTCAAACTGCAGCCGCCGTCAGGGGACGAGCTGCCGGCGCGCGACTTCGACCCGGGACAGGACACCTACCAGCACCCGCCGGAGGAGGGCGGCTCTGTGCGTGTGGACGTCAACCCGCAGAGCAACCGGCTGCAGCTGCTGGAGCCCTTCGATAAGTGGGACAGCGGCGACCTGGAGGACATGCGGGTGCTCATCAAGGTGGGTGGGGGGGCCGGGACCTGGGGGACATGCGGGTGCTCATCAAGGTGGGTGGGGGGGCCGGGACCTGGGGGACATGTGGGTGCTATTCCTTTCCTCTTCCTCCTTCGCAATCTTTTTTTTTTCTTCTTTTCCTTTTTTCAAACCTTTTTCTTTTTTCCTAGTTCCCCTTTTCCTTTTTATATTCTCCCCTTTTCTCTTTTTTCTTCTTCCTCCTCTTTTTTTCTCCTCCATTTTCTCTTCCTTTTTCTCCTTGTTTATCTCCTCTTTCCTTTTTCTACTTCTCATCCTCCTACTCCTTTCTTCTCCCATCCTTTTTCGTTCTCCTCCCTTCTCACTTTTCACTTCTTTCTTCTTTTACTTCTATTCCTCCTCCCTTCTCCTCATTTTTTCTCTTCCCTTGGCCGGCAGCTCTCCTAATGGTGCCCCTTCCCCCCCCCCCAGGTGAAAGGCAAATGCACCACCGACCACATCAGTGCCGCCGGACCCTGGCTCAAGTTCCGCGGCCACCTGGACAACATCTCCAACAACCTGCTGATCGGCGCCGTCAACATCGAGAACGACGCCGTCAACAAGGTCCGCAACCAGCTGACGGGGGAGCACGGCGGGGTGCCCGATGTGGCCCGCCACTACAAGGTAAGCCAGCTGGGGGGGGGGGGGGGGGCTTCACAAGAGCCTCTGAGGGATCATTAGACCCAGGGCTCCTGTCAGCCAGCTGTGAATTTATGCCTCTTGCATATGACTGGAGCATCAGTGCAGTCATTAGCCAGCCTGAGGGTGCAGCAGACACCCTGGTTCATCTGGGGGGGGGGTCGTGCTGGCAGTGTCACTGGGGAGAGAGCAGTGGGCCGAACATCAGCGATCTGAGGCACTCATGTCTCCATCACCACTACCCCCC